CCACTTAAATGATGCTTGATGCTTAGATGCTATTCATTTAAATAAATGATAAACAAATAAATAAATGGTTGAATAAATACATAAAACCAAAATATCTTCCTCCTAAAAGAAATGAATACAAACAAAAATTCGTGAGTGAAATGCCAAAAAATATATATAAACAGATGCCACCGAAAAAGTTGAAGCACTAATTTGGCAAGATCTTCGTGCTCGTCGACGTCTGAGAAGCCAAAGACCTTAGACTTAGAGCAGCAATCAAAGGGAAAAGGCTTGTTTGAGCAGAGCAATCATCGCAGGATTGTGCAAGACGCAAGAAAAGTATTTTTTTTTTATCTTTCGGAAAAAGAGAAGGGGCAAGAGCACGAAGAGGAGGATAAGACGGTAAAGAAGAAGGAATATTAGAAGAAATAAAAAGGGGAGAAAAATGAAACAAACAAAAAAAAACAGGAAGAACGGGAGATAGAAATGGGAGAGGACGAGGAGAAAGTAATAGAAAGAGGGGAAAGATAAGGAGGAAGACGAAGTGGAGATTACATAATCAACGTTCACGTATAATGTATGAAGATAATCGGGTAATGCCACTGACACAACGGTAACCCTATGAGCCAGGCGTGAAGCAAACTCTCCAAGATTACATTCTTTACGAGGACTTTTTCCATGGCTAAATCTTGAAGTCAAATTGAGCGAATCATAAATCTGACTCACGGATGAAGATACCGAGGAGCCGCGTCTGCAAACGCTTACGATAGCACCGCCGATTGGCTGGCGTGTTTGCGCTCTCAAATGAACATGGTGATCGCCTGATACGCACTCAAAGAGACAGGTTAATAGAGCAAGCCACGTGTTTACAGTAAGCTTCTGGGATGTGTACGGGTAAGTGCACACCGCATGGGCAGAGAATCTGAGTCAGCGGCTGCGGTGAGTCAGACAGCGCGGATCAATCGGAGAACATTCTGTGTCGATGGCAGCATGCGGTTGAACTCAATGCACGTGCCTGACACACTCCGGCTAAGTAATTTCTCGCTTTCCAGAACTTGGCAATGATATCTGGTAATCCTCGGCCAATTAAACTAACGCGGGAATTTGGCCCGAATGTGACTAGATCTATTTCTCTTGCGTCGTGGAAAGGGGAATCGTCATGTGGAATTTTCTTCAAAATATAAAAATCATTGAAAGTCGAAAAGAGAAGAAAGTGAAACAGGACGGTGTTTTTCTTTTTTTTTGCCCATGTGCCGTACTTCACTCACGATATCAAACACATTTCCAGACACGCCCTGACGCAATCATGCAAATCACTCAGTCTCGCCGCTGCCTTAATGACCTGCCAGTTCCCGCGGACGGCGCATGAGCTTACAGACACACACACGTCACGCGCCTTGTAAACGAACAAGACGAGAGGCAATATCTTGCTTTTCCATTAAGGGGAATCCGGGATTAGCACTCCTGAGTCCTGGGACGTCCTCTCAGCGAGCCACTGGCCGGCGGTCGCCTCTAAATCCGGCACGAGTCGCCTCCCGCGGACATGGCCACGCGGCGAGAAACCCGATGAGAGGTTCCGGGAAGAAGTGGGGAAAAGGGGAGTGTGGTGGAGAGAGGAAAATAAGAAAACTGACTCTTGCATAACGCAGAAAGAAAGTCAAGCAAAGAAAGAGAGAACCATTATATTTGTATATATTAACATATATTTATATACATATACATATATACATATATATTTTTATATATTATGTATCTTATATATATCATATATATTATATATATTATATATATTACATATATTATATATATAATATATATAAATATATAATTTATAATATATAATGTATATATAGATATAATATATATATATATATAATATATATATATATATATATAAATATATATATATATATAATATAAATATAATATATATATATATATATATAATATATATATAACATACGTATATAATATAAATATAATATATATAATATATATAATATATATATATATAACATACGTATATAATATAAATATAATATATATAATATATATAATATATATAACATATATATATATAATATATAATATATATATCATATATAATATATAATACATAATATATATATATATATATATATATATATATATATATATATATATATATATATATATATATATATATATATATGTATATAGATATATGTATATAAATATGTATATATATCAAATTATAAATATCACATATAAAATACATATATATAATATATACATATATATATTATGTACATCATATCATATATAAATATAAATATATATATATATATATATATATATATATATATATATGTATTACATATATATCAAATTACATATATATTACAATATATACAAATGTATATATGTATGTGTATATATATATACACACATTCACATCGCACGCATGTGAATGTGTGTGCATTCATGAACATCGACGGCGCTCACGAGCATACGCACGGATTTGCTTATGTTGGGTTAGCCA